CTTGTGAGACACTATCGGATTTACAAGCTAACCAGTGAATATGATGCCTTGAACTGTTCAGCCGTTTGTGTAAACTAAGACAATAGAACTCACACAGTATATCCCCAGACACAGTTTAGTTCTCATTATTGTGTTCATTTTAGCCCTGAACAACCTGGTCTTTCATGAGTGCTTTAGAGAATTGTAGCCCTTCACAAATCTCATAGAACCGGCCCAGTTCACACTCACATAGGCGATTCTTATGAAGAGTATCCTGCTATACTCCACTAGGTTAACCTAGATATAAGAATCATTAAAAGTTTTACTTAACCTAAAACGCTGCAGACATCATTATTTCATCATAGAAATGGGTAGGAGTTAGACTCCCCAATGATCCTTCTAAGTCATTCACAACTCGGTTGTCCCTTTGAACCTAGATCTTGGGATCTACAGTCAACCAAGTTTGGTTGCCGTTGTGGTAACTCTTATTTAATAGGCTTTAGTTCCATTCCCCTTGATGAATTCTCAACTAACTCTCTTGCTAACCCTTTGGTTAGTGGATCCGCTATGTTGTCTTTAGACTTCACTTACCGTTATACATATGACTCTGTGCTCTACCTATCGCTGATTGACTATCGCAATGTATGCATATAGCAGACACCGATTTTGGCCAAATTGAAATATCTTCAAAGAAGTGGCGAAGCCATTTTGCCGCTTCCCCTGCTTTGTCTAACGCTATGAATTCTGATTCCATAGTAGGCCTAGCAATGCAAGTCTATTTGGAAGATTTCCAAGATACAATCGCCCCACCAAGAGTAAAGACATACCCACTGGTGGACTTTGAGTCTCTTATATTCGATATCCAATTTGCATCACAGTATCCTTCAAGTACTGCTGGATATCTAGTATAATTCAGCCCAATATTACGAGTAAATCGAAGATACCTTAGAACCCTTATAATAGCTTTCCAGTGTTCTACTCCCGGATTACTCGTATATCTACTTAATTTACTTACTGCATAAGCTATATCTGGGCGAGTGCAGTTCATCAAGTACATTAAGTTTCCAATAATTTGGGCATACTCTAATTGAGAAATACTTTCCTGTACATTCTTAGAAAGATACAAATTAACATCTATAGGTGTTCTAGCAAGATGATCATCATCTTTGCTGAATTTGTCAAGTATTTTCTCAATGTAATAAAATTGTGACAAAGCACATCCTTCTGATATTTTGGTAATTTTCATACCAAGAATTACATCAGCAATGCCCATGTCCTTCATGTCAAAATGTTTATTCAACATTTTCTTGGTAGTTTTAATCATATCATTATTAATACCTATGATGAGCATATCATCTACATAAAGACATACAATGACATAACCTTTGTCTGTGTTCTTAATATAAACACATTTGTTACACTCATTAATTTTAAATCCATTTGACATCATTGCTTTATCAAATTTCTCATGCCATTGCTTAGGCGCTTGTTTTAAACCATATAATGATTTAACCAATTTACACATTTTCTTTTCTTTTCCTGGACAAAAAAACCTTCTGGTTGTTCCATGTAAATTTCTTCATTTAACTCACCATTTAAGAAAGCGGTTTTCACATCCATTTGATGAATTTCTAGATTATATAGAGATGCAATGGCAATTAGCATTCTAATGGATGTTATTCTAGTAACCGGTGAGTATGTGTCAAAGTAATCAAGGCCTTCTTTTTGTCTAAAACCTTTGACCACAAGTCTCGCCTTGTATTTGTCAATTGATCCATCCGCTTGTAAATTTCTTGTAAAAATTCACTTGTACCCAAGAGGTTTACAACCTGGTGGTAAATCCACCAATTTCCAAGTGTGATATTGCAAGATGGATTCAACTTCACTCTTGACAACTTCTTTCCATAAAGGAGCTTCAGGACTGGACATAGCCTCTTTAAAAGTTAAAGGCTCATTTTCTAACAAAAAAGTTAGGAAATCTGGACCAAAAGATTTTGAGGTTCTAGCACGTTTACTACGCCTAGGTTCCTCATCCTCATTTTGATCTAACTCTTGTTCTTGATCAAGTTCTTGATCCTGACTAGTAATAGCATCATGGGATCTTTTATTGTTACTAGTCTTTTGTCCAGTCTTATTTGGAAATACATGTTCAAAGAAAGATGCATTCCGAGATTCAATAATAGTATTTACATGCATTTCGAAATGTTCTGATTTATGAATTAAAAACCGATATGCACTACTATTCTTGGCATAACCAATGAAAATGCAATCAATGGTCTTAGGACCTATCTTAGTCTTTTTAGGACTAGGAATAGCCACTTTAGCCAAACACCCCCACACTTTTAAGTATTTGTAAGATGGTACTCTTCCATGCCATAATTCATAAGGCGTTTGATTCACTTTCTTTCGGGGTACTTTATTAAGTATATAATTAGCAGAAAGTATTGCTTCCCCCCACAAGTTCTGAGGTAATCCAGAACTGATTAACATGGCATTCATCATTTCTTTTAAAGTCCTATTTTTCCTTTCAGCAATTCCATTTTGCTGAGGTGGTAGTGGTGTAGTGGGTTAGGTTAGTGGAGTAGGTGAGGTGGTGGTGGTGGTAGGTGATGGTAAATTCTAACAGCCCCCCGCAAACTCAAGGAGGATAGAAACTAACCAACTTGAGTTTGAAGAGAGGACAAAACAAGAAAATACATAAAAAAAGATAGGAGACACTGTATGGTCGTGTCAGACCGTTGGTGAAGACACTGGATGGTGGTGTCATAACGTTGCTAGATGGACACTGTATGGTGCTGTCATAACGGTGGTAGAGGACACTGGATGGCGGTGTCAGACCATGTAGAAGACAGTTTATGGGGTCATGTCGGACCGTTGTAGCAGACAATGTTGTGACAGTTGTTGTGACAGTTTACGGAGTCTTGCTGGACCCTTGTAGAAACTAACCGGAATCAATGTCGGGACAGTTTACAGAGTCTTGTCGGACCCATAAAGGAGCTAACCGGAATCAATGTCGGGTACAGTTTACAGAGTCTTGTCGGACCCATAAAGGAGCTAACCAGAATCAATGTCGGGACATTTACAGAGTCTTGTCGGACCCTTGTAGAAACTAACCGGAATCTATGTCGGGACAGTTTACAGAGTCTTGTCGGACCCATGAAGGAGCTAACCGAAATTAATGTCGGACACGTTTACAGAGTCTTGTCGGACCCTTAAAAGTCGCACCCTCAAAAGGTGTGCCCAATCTTTCAAAAGGCGTGCAATTAAAACGGCGTGGCCCAATCATAAAAGGCGTGCCATCAAAAGGCGTGCCCAATCCATAAAAGGCGTGCCATCAAAGGCGTGCCAATTGTCGGCGTCAAGAGGCGCGCGATGCGCGGTGCTTGCCTCGGCTATATAACCAAGACTGAACCTGAGGCTGAGGCAGACAAAAAACTTCTGAAAATCCTCTGAAAAAATTTCTCGTTGTCTGAGACAAAAAACCTGCGAAAATCCTTTGAAAAACCCTTTGTGTTCTGAGAGAGATACTCTGTAACACTCTGTTGCCAATCCTTCTCTGAAAGTACCAGTCGGAAATCGCTGCTTCGCTGAAACACACAGCAACCCAAAAACATGGCCTCTTCTTCCCGTGGTCGCTCACGCTCTTTCCAGACCTGAACGAGTCCACAAGAGAATAACTGGTGCGGTGACCAGGGAACCTCAACCAAACACCTCTGGTTTTGCTCCGTTGAACTTTCCGATGCGGTCTGTGGAGCAAAAAATGGCGGTGCAAACTGATATTGAGGCCAATCAGTATACTCTGAAATCATGCGTGGAAACCATGACTGCGGTCACAAATTTGTCGCACCGGCTGCAGAGCAGGACAAATGAGGTGCAACAGTTAACTCCCCAGCTGGCTCTGCTCCAACGCATGTATAAGGATGCGCGAGCAGAGATAAGTGTGCTGAAAGCAGAAAATAAGGAACTGAAGCGGAAGGCCACCGTGATGTTCCGATTTGGAGGTCCGCCATATGCTGCAGTGGAGGAGTATGGAGTAGTGATCGTGCCCAGTGGAGTGGGAAACACAGAGGCAGCACCGTCAAGGACTGCCCAGGACGGAGGCAAGAAGAAAAGACCGGCGGCAGAGTAGAGAAGAAAAAATCCCGCCTGTGGAGGTGGGTGTTTGGGTTTGGTTTTGTTTTGTTTTTTTGTTTTTTTTTTTGGTTTTTTGTAAAAGTGTGATCGGGGTGGATGCCCAATATGAATAAAATATGGTGTGTTGTGCAAATATGGAAATTGGTTTGGTTTTTTTTTTTGTTTTTTGTAATAAGAATAAGAAGAGGATCCAAGGCATGGACAGCATCATTATGGCAAGTGGAGTTGAAATATTAAAAAAAGATGGGACCACGGTTTTGGTAAAACCCACGGTTTTGGATTTTTGGTTTAATATTTTTTTTTTTTTTGTATTTATTTATTTATGAAATAAAAGAGAAAAAGGTGGGTGGTGGAAAATGTGATGATGGTGTTTGGTGGTGGAGAAAAGTTTAGAATAGAAAAGTTTATATAAAATTGGGGATAGTGTTTTATAATAATGAAAATAAAAGTGAGGTAGTGGATGTGTGTATTAAAATAACAAGAATGGGTGTGAATGGTGTCGTGCATGTGCGGTGTATGCGGCAGTGTGAATGGTGTGAGAGAGTGTAAGATAGGTGTGAATGGTGTCGTGCATGTGCTGTGTATGTGGCAGTGTGAATGGTGTGAGAGAGGAATAAAGTGTTCAAAAAAAAAAAATGAGAGAGAGAGATATTGAGTGCGTGTCTTGCCCCAAGAAAGGCTACCCACGTGACACAGAGACAAACAAAGCTACATAGGCATGTGCTTTTCCTCTGCAAGAATTGCATTATTCAACGTGATGTCATATTTGTCCAAGAATTGTTGGTCGACGACAGAAGAGATGTCCAATAGTGGGTTTCCCATACCCAAAAGAATTCCCTCCATCGCTACTTGCAAGTGATGAAATGAGAGAGAGAGAGAGAAGAGAGAGCGAGTGATGAGTCTGCACCAACTGGTACCTGTGCTGTTTGTGTGGCGGGGGGCGAAAGATCACTTGTTGCCAACTTATCTGCTGCAAATTGCTACAAAACTGAACATTTGAAGAGACCAGAAAATTGGGCATTGGTTGAGAAGGCCAAGTACTACTATATAGCAGGTTTTTTGTTCTCACAGTTTCCACACAAGTGATGAAATGAGAGAGAGAGAGAGAAGAGAGAGCGAGTGATGAGTCTGCACCAACTGGTACCTGTGCTGTTTGTGTGGCGGGAGGCGAAAGATCACTTGTTGCCAACTTATCTGCTGCAAATTGCTACAAAACTGAACATTTGAAGAGACCAGAAAATTAGGCATTGGTTGAGAAGGCCAAGTACTACTATATAGCAGGCTTTTTTTTCTCACAGTTTCCACAGAGTCCATTCAACTTGTTGCTGAACATGCAGCTGCAAACAACATGGCCTCAACTCTGATGATGAGGATGATGGGGCTAAGGTACCCTTTGAAGATCCCACAGGGTAAGGAGCGACGGGCATATCAGCAAGAGACGATGTGGATGGACTGTAACTCAGTGTTCCCATCGGATGATCAAATTGGCATGATGGCGAGATTGAGGAGTTTGGCGAGGTTCGAAGGTGGGAGAGAAGAGCATGGAAACGAGGGGGATGAAGTACATGCAGAGTGATCAAGGTATGTGTAGAAAATTCAAGCGGAATAGGTTGAGGTCCGGCGGGCGGCCAAGGCGAGGTTGCCGCCCGCCGGTAAAGCGAAAAATACGAACTGCTTAACCTAGCTCTGATACCATGATAAAAAATGATGTATTATTGATTGATATTTGATTGATTTATTGATTCATATTCTGTCTATTACAAATGGTTCCTTATATAGATGTAGGTGTAGTGGATGGTGTGTAGTGGATGGTGATAGTGGTGTAGTGGGTTAGGTTTAGTGGAGTAGGTGAGGTGATTGATTTATTGATACATATTCTGTCTATTACAAATGGTTCCTTATATAGATGTAGGTGTAGTGGATGGTGTGTAGTGGATGGTGATAGTGGTGTAGTGGGTTAGGTTTAGTGGAGTAGGTGAGGTGGTAGTGGTGTAGTGGGTTAGGTTTAGTGGAGTAGGTGAGGTGGTAGTGGTGGTAGGTGATGGTAAATTCTAACAAGTTCTGAGGTAATCCAGAACTTATTGACATGGCATTCATCATTTCTTTTAAAGTTCTATTTTTTCATTCAGCAATTCCATTTTGCTGAGGTGAGTAAGGAGCAGTGGTTTGATGAATTATTCAATGTTCTTTCCAAAATTCACCAAAAGGTGATTCATATTCACCACCTCTATCACTTTTAAGTTTCTTGATTTTCTTACCAAATTGATTTTCAACTTCATTCTTATATTGAATGAAAGTTTCCAAAGGTTCATCCTTAGTTCGAATTAAATAAACATAACTGTATCTAGTATAGTCATCTATAAAAGTGATAAAATATTTTTTCCCACCTCTAGTTTGAATTGATTTAAAATCACAAATGTCGCTATGAATTAATTCAAGTGGTTCTGTACTTCTTTCAATTGAATGAAAAGGAGTTTTAGATAATTTTGCCTCAATACAAATTTCACATTTATGATTTGAATCAATGTCAAATTTAGGTAAACATTCCATATTAATTAATCTACGCAAAGATCCATAATTAACATGTCCTAGTCTACCATGCCATAAATTTGAAGACTCAAGGAAGTAAGAAGAATATGTATTATTATTAAAAACTGAGGGTACAACGGTCATTACATTTAACTTGAAAAGGCCATCAGACATGTAACATTTTCCTATATACATCCCATTCTTAGTAAGTACAAATTTATCACTCTCAAATACTAGCCTAAACCCATTCTTACTCAACAAAGATCTGAAAACAAGATTCTTGCGAATGTCCGGTACATGCAGCACATTGTTGAGAGTGAGTTCATTTCCAGATGTTATCTTGAGTACAATCTTTCCTTGTCCTTCAACTTTGGAAGTTGAAGAGTTGCTCATAAAAAGTTGTTCACCGTTGTCCACTGTAGAATAAGATGTGAACATCTTTTTGTCGGCACAAATATGACGAGTAGCACCAGTGTCCACCCACCATTATTTAAGATTTTCGACAAGATTTGTCTCGGAAACAACTGCAGAAAGATTAATATCATCTATACCATTAGAAATATTGTCCACTTCGGTCATATGGGCTTGAGCAGACTTCTTGCGCTTTTTCCTTTTGCTTTTGCCTTTGCTACGGCAATCTTTCGCCCGATGTCCCTCTTTGTCACAAATGTAACATTTGCTATTAAAATTGTACTTTTTATTTCCCCCCCCCCCTTTAGAGCCTTGTGATGAACTTTCTCTAGAAGACTTTCGTTTCTTGATTTTTGAAGCATGTTCCACCACATTTGCCGTAGACTCCATAGGATGCTTACCAGCCCGCTTTTTAGAATTGCGGTTGTCCTCCTCAATCCTCAAACGCACAATTAATTCTTCCATAGAAATTTCTTTGCACTTGTGTTTGAGGTAGTTCTTGAATTCCTTCCAGCCTCTTGGTAATTTTTCAATTAAGGCTGCATCTTGGAAGGATTCACTGAGAGACATGCCTTCTGCGTGAATGTCATGCAGAATGAGTTGGAAATCTTAAACTTGGATGATCACAGTTTTTGAATCAACCATTACAAAATTCAGGAATTTGCCAACCACAAATTTCTTTGAGCCGGCATCTTCCGTTTTGTATTTTTTCTCCAAAGACTCCCAAAGTTCCTTTGTTGTCTTGATAGGACTGTAGACGTTGTATAATGTGTTGTCAAGTCCGTTCAAAATGTAGTTTCGGCAAAAGAAATCAACATGTTTCCAGGCATCAACCGCAGCAACCACTTGCTGGTCGGTTTCATCCTCTTTCAAAATAGGAGCATCCTCACAGAGGAAACGAGCCAGGTTCAGAGTTGTAAGATAGAACAACATTTTCTGTTGCCATCTTTTAACGTCAGTTCCTGATAACTTCTCTGGCTTTTCACTGTGATTTACCAGTACTGTTACAACAGGAGAGGGGGTTGGCGTCATTGCAGCAACCACAGTAGTACTTGTTTGGGCATTAGTTTCAGTAGCCATCAATTCTAATTTATAAAACAAAATTAGAATTAGAAATTACACTACACAGAAAATTAAACCAAATTCACAGAATTAAATTCTGTAAAAAATAAAAGAAACAAGAATGTAACTTTTATTTTCCAATTAATTTAGAAATAAAATAAAATTTTATTTAAACAAATTAATTCCACACAGGAAATTAAATTCTGTAAAATAAAAGAAATAAGAATATAACTTTTATTTTTCAATTAATTTGGAAATAAAATAAAATTTAATTTAACCAAATTAATTCCACACAGAAAATTAAATTTCTGTAACACTTCAATAATTAAAATACTGAAACAGAATTTTAATTAATGAAAACTCATAAAAATAATTTCTAATAACCAAAATTAATTTCTAACAAAATTTCACAAAAATATATTCTGAATTGTTAATGACACCAGCATCGTACTACTAGTTGTCAAAAAAAATAGACAGTATATTACTATCTGTCAAATAGCATATAATCACTATTTGTTTTTCCAACCAGAATATTATTTTGTAAATCCACATAAAATAACTTTCTTAAAAGAAGAAAGAGAAACGGAAATTACAAAATTGAGCCCAAAATTGAGTGGGCCCCAAACGGCTTTTGGGGTGGATTCGAAAAGGTGAAGTGTTCCTTGTCACATGGCAAGTCACACAGTGAAGACGGTTCGTCAAAACCATTTATGAGTGAATGGGAACATGACGTCGTTTTCGGGTTCGTAGAAATGAACATTTAAAGTTTTAATGTGGGATTCCTTGTGAAGCTTGTCCCACATTAAAACTTTAAGAGAGTTTTGTTGAGTTTATAAGCTCTAGCCTACAACACTTGGATTGGGCCCCCAGGGGCACTCCAAGTTTGTAGAAGAGAGGAGTTATGGACAAAGTGAACCTTAGCCCAAACCACCACACGCGCGCACGCTGCCGGCCAAGCCAAGCCGTGCCGGACGCGGGTGTGGGTGTGGGTCGGGTCGGTTCTTGTATTAATTTTTTGGACAAAATTCATTTGAATCTTTTCCAAATTTATTGCAGGAAATTATTGGTATTTCAATTCAAATTTATTGTCCAAATAATTGTGCCTCTAAGTTTCATTTTTCCCAAACTGTTAAACAGGTTTTAAACTGTCCAACAGATTCAAAATTGTCCAAACAGTCATGAAGTTTCCTATATATATTAATCCATTTCCAGCAGTCCGGATATAGAAAAATAGTCTGAAATTATTGTCTCATTGCTGTCCAGAATTTTCTACTTTTGCATTATTCTTCATATTATATTTAGAATAAATTAAAGAGAGTATAAGAACACAAGGTTCTAGTTCGCCGTACAAATTTGTGTGGAGTGCTACTACAAGTTTGTGAAGATCATTGTATCCTGGGAGATAGACTCCACTCAACCGTAAGCACCGTAGCGGGGCGAATCTGTCTTAAGGACAGGATGTCACACACTCGACTTGGTCTTTTAATTTTTATTTGGTTCAACAAAATAAATTCTGTAAATTTTATTTTATGTTGTTTGGCTTTGTTTCAATTTATTTTATTTACACAGAAGATTGTTCCAACAATCTTAAGACAGATTTGAATTGTTCTGTTTACAGAATTTTTCGTTTGTTTCCTTTTCTCTTTCTTCTTTTAAGAAAAATTTTCTGTGGATTTACAAAATAATATTCTGGTTAGAAAACAAATAGTGATTATATGCTATTTGACAGATAGTAGTAATATACTGTCTATTTTCTTTGACAACTAGTAGTAATATACTGGTGTCATTAGCAATTCAGAATATATTTTTGTGAAATTTTTTCAGAAATTAATTTTGATTTTTAGAAATTATTTTTTGAGTTTTCATTAATTAAAATTCTGTTTCAGTATTTTAATTATTGAAGTGTTACAGAAATTAATTTTCTGTGTGGAATTAATTTGGTTAAATAAAATTTTATTTTATTTTATTTCGAAGATATTCAAAAAGATACAATTCTTGTTTCTTTTATTTTTACAGAATTTAATTTTGTGAATTTGGATTAGTTTTCTGTGTGAAATTAATTTGGTTAAATAAAATTTTATTTTATTTTCAAATTAATTGGAAATAAAAGATACAATTCTTGTTTCTTTTATTTTTACAGAATTTAATTTTGTGAATTTGGATTAGTTTTCTGTGTGAAATTAATTTGGTTAAATAAAATTTTATTTTATTTTCAAATTAATTGGAAATAAAAGATACAATTCTTGTTTCTTTTATTTTTACAGAATTTAATTTTGTGAATTTGGATTAGTTTTCTGTGTGAAATTAATTTGGTTAAATAAAATTTTATTTTATTTTCAAATTAATTGGAAATAAAAGATACAATTCTTGTTTCTTTTATTTTTACAGAATTTAATTTTGTGAATTTGGATTAGTTTTCTGTGTGAAATTAATTTGGTTAAATAAAATTTTATTTTATTTTCAAATTAATTGGAAATAAAAGATACAATTCTTGTTTCTTTTATTTTTACAGAATTTAATTTTGTGAATTTGGATTAGTTTTCTGTGTGAAATTAATTTGGTTAAATAAACGAGGCAAATCTTGTCGGAAATCCTAAAGAATGGTGGGTGGACACTGGTGCTACTCGTCATATTTGTGCCGACAAAA